AAACCCCCCCCCCCCCCCCCCCCACCTTCCGATCCCTTCTCTTCTCTTGTTTTCGACCACTGTGTGACAGATCCCTCGACCACCTTATGATGAGCCACAACAACGTCGGGCGCAGAGGTGCGACCGCCGTTTTCATGGCCCTACGGCAGAGAGCCCAGGACGGAGCGGAGCTTCTCGTGGACCTTCAGAGCTGCGAGCTGGGGTCGGACGCGGGGGACGACCTGTTCGACATGCACAACCCGTCCGGCAGGTAACGTTCCGCGTTTGCGTCATCCCAGTTCGAAAAAATCGGAATAATTCCAACAAGAACGGAAGCCTAGCGGCGAACCCAAGCCACCCAGTACAAGAGGAAGAGAAGCGTGTATCGTTGGCGGTGTAGCTGTCGGTGTAGCCGGTGAGACAGTTTTCCTAATGTCGTTGGGAATGTGGCCCCGGTATGATGGCAATATCGAGTCTACACTTCGTTGTCCCGCTTCTACGCGAGAGCAATGGCGGTAGACGACTTTCATCGCCCCGCAATACCGTCTCACCCCGTTCGCCTCCCCTCAGATACGAGCTTGACATGTCGAAACCGTACGACTACATGGTGGCCCGTATGCTTTTAAACATCGCCAACAAGAGCGAGGGCCTGGAACTGTCCACCGTGGAGCACACGTCCGGAGAGGTTAGGTCGTCCACTTGTCTGCCTTGGGCACTTCTTGCACGCATAATCTTACCGCGATGAATTGTAGCGTGGTCGCGAGAGAGGGGGCTTCTAAAGAGCGTTCCAGGCGTAACTGCTTGGTAATGTACCAGGCAACCCATCTTCGTTCTGCAGCTGTTGTGGTGCGATGAAGGTTAGAAGGGTGGGTATTGTTTTTTGTGCTTCCCACCTTACTCGTGCTCTCCCCATTTAGACCTTAAGGGCGGGGTGCATCCAAAACCATATTTAGATTCCTGGCTACGCTTACGCCAATTAAACAAGTGCTGCTGCCCGAGGGGGCCGTTCTTTCTAATCAACGAGCGGGCGGACACGTTGCCTGTGACCGCCTGCGGGCACCTACTTCACCGGAGGCCAACGCATTCACGTCGCGGCTAGTGGACGGCTATCCTGCCGGCCTTCTCTGCATGCTACCGTCTCGTGGTCCAAGCAGTACCGTACACCCTGTGGAACAACGGGACGATTGCTCAGTCCACCTTTTCTCGACGTTGCTGGAAAGGCAAGCCTCGTACGACACCCGTTATTTTCGCAATATTGTCAGTCACCCCTCCTTGCTCTTCTCCTCGTCCGTGACCTGCCCCAATGCTGGCCGTAGAGAGGGATGTGGAAACCCGTGGTCCTTGCACGGCGTACCCCCACTTCCTCGCACAAGAACGGAGGCAATAACTTCCAGCCTTCGGAGAGCTTTGGCGAAAAGATTCTGGGGGCTGGCGGGGGCGGAGGAGACTGGCGAGTGCCGGCGGCGGCTTTGCTCACCTGCTCTGCCGAGGGTGAATCTGGACGGGAGGCCAAGCCAGAAGAACTTGAGAGCTTCTTTCGAGAGCTCGGGCTGGAGCCGACGCCAATGATTGTCGAAAGGTAAGCATCTGCTGCCCATTAGGTTACCCTCCAAATGGCGTCCCGTAAACAGAAAGTAGAAAATATCATAACAAAAACGAAACACACACAATCAAAACCCAACACTACTACAATGTTGTTTTTTGTCATTCCGTTTTTCTGGACGTCGGTCCCGACACATCAGTCAGGTCACACATGAGTCAAATAAACTATATGCAGGAACATTTATTATTCTGCCCCAGGAGGATAAAGCTTCCCAAGGCGCGAACAATCAATGCAATCATTTGGTGCTATCGAGGTGGGCACCACAAGGTTGTGGGTCCGTGTGGCACTTGGCAGCATTGCTGAAACGTTTCCATGGCCAACTTCTACTCCAAAAAATATGTACATATAAGATTTGGTCACTTTTCATTCTTCGCGTTTCTTTCTCTCGCGGCAGCGAGTCTTTTATCGCGGTTCCTTCTCAGGGGCATGCAGGAGGCTCGTCGGTACATTATCGCCCGTGCCCGGAGCTTGGTAGGCCTCCGTGGCGCGTGTGGTTGACGGCCAAAGTTGCGAAAACTGGCTCAAAACCCCGGGGACGCGTTCCGCGCTGACAAAGCCTGGCGAACCAATTCTGAAACCTATCAAACCCATCAAATATGACGGTTTGAAATATTTGCCTCTTTCTTCTCCACTTTCATTCGTTCATTCATTCATTCGATGATTCATGGCTGTGGCTCTTCGTGTCATCGCATTGTCCAACAGCAGTACCTACGTTTACTACACTTCGCAACGGGCCAAGTGTAGACAAGTCTGAGAGCATGCATCCAGCCGCAGTGTTGAACATGTCCAATTCGTGGTGTTGTTTCGGCTTCAAATTCGGTTCTCATCGGAAACCTGCCATCATCAATCAAAGACATCATAGAAGTCTGAGTTTTCGCTGTCAAAATATTGTCCGCTCGAGCTGGCTCCAATGTAGAATAACAACGTGCGCGATGTTTTGTGCGGAAGTACAAGCGTTGTAAGACACACAGTCCCTCTCCGGGCAATGCGCATGTGGTCTTGCGAAACCTGAGGGAGGGTAGACACCCACGTCCCGAAGGGAGACCTTGCATTGCTCTAGTACTTTAATTGCAAGATAATAACTGAAGCCAACACGAAATTTTGTTTTCCAAGCAAAGTCCGTTGTATACCGCGTACCAGCACGACCGGTACCAGCACGTGTACAACACAGTAGTATCCAGACGGACCTGCGGGTTCATGGTGCACGTCCTGCAGAGACACGCTTGCTTTTCATGCCTATCTTCTGCCGGCCTCTCTGTGATTGTGGAAAACCAACGCCTTCCGGCGACGACCCAGAATATGTGAGGCCTTCAACGCTGGAATAAGGGTCGAACAGGGTCCTCAGCAAGGGAACGAGCCCGCAGCTGCTGCAAGTGAGGATGGGAGAGGTGGCGATGGCGACACCGCGGGACTCGCTCCAGACCCAGCTGATGGGTGAGGCATCCAGGCCCAATGCGCAAAAAACAACAGTTTTGTACCAAGACCTTGAGACCGCGATTCTTCCAATGGCCACCCTGCAGTCTTCTGCAGCAGGCGGCACCGTAGTTCGGCGTACCCTACTCGGTGACGAACATCGCGGTGAATGCCGCGTGTGAGTCGGTTGGTTGTTAAGTCACGCCGTGAGGCTGTACCGGTCAAGATGAAGTTGTATGGAAGGGATATGACTTGGGAGCGAACCGACGTCCCAGTGAGAATCATGACATTTCCCTAGATCTTGCAAACACGCGCGCGCACTCGAGGGGGGGGGCTAGGGTTATCGTGACGGGTCGAGCTGTCCAACTGTTCCTGCGAGGAGTTCGCCTCTGGCAAACGAACGCGTATTTCGCGAAGATTCTACAGCACCAACGCAATCACCACATCATATACCCATGTGCGTGCTAAAACCCGCCCGGGCTCGACGGCGAAGCGTGGCCATTGTTTCAACAACGAAGACAAATCAGTACCCCCTCGCCTACCTCACCCCTCAGCCGTTTAGCAGGCCCGGGCGCTCAAGACGTTGCTTCAGAATCGGTCGACAGCCGCCCTTCAACCCCGCGAAGACCGGCCAGTGCAGCCCGGAAGCGGCGCGTTCCAACCGCCGGCTTGAGCAAGAGCTCCAGAGACGATCCGTTCGACGGAAGGAGCAGCGACTGTAGCAGCAGCACCGTCGCGAAGAGCAGCAGAAGCAGGGACGGCCTGAAGACGCCCTTCGACATGGCCAAGCACGTCTTCCACCTGCTCTTTCTAGAGGTGGACCTGGACCGGTCCGGATGCATCGACAACAAGGAGTTCGGGGAGATGCTGCTGCAGCTGGGGAAGAACATCGGGCCCGACGTCGCGCGCCACTGTATCGTCAGGTGCATGCGGTAGAAGGGCGTCGCGCGCGCGTACCGCCTAAGGCTAGAGGCACACGCGTTCGACTTCCGAGGGTTTCTTGCTGCGCAAGTTGTCAACAGCGTTTCCATTTCTCGTTAAGAGTTGGTCGTCTGTACGGTAGTGGTCCAAGTATAATGCCGGTTGAATAATGTTGGTTGCCCTGTATATTGCCGGTGAAATCGCGTGACATGGATGGAATGTTCTTATTGCTTCAAGCTCTGAGTAATGCCGGTTGCCCACCAAAATGCCGGTTTAAAGGGGTTGGCACCTACCGTACCGTACCGGCATGATACCGGGACCACTACTGTACGTGAAAACCCCGCCAGGTGTAGGGCCGTATGCATACTTGCCCCATTTCGAGCGCCGCCGTAGACGTGAGAGACAGGCGTGCATAGAGGCGGATAGGAGCAGTAGTTGATCCCACCTCTTCGCTCCCTCGAAAGCCACGATCTCCTCGGAGATTAGGTTCCCCGAGGAGGTGGTCGCTTTCCTCCAAGACACGTACACGTACTCTAACTTTTGGGTTTCGGAAGGGGCGGTCGTCCTTCGTGGTTGGTCCTTCCATCTTCGTGACATGAAGCTATAATAGAGCCTCTGATCCCCAAGCTGCCGACCGCTTGGCCCAGCTGGCAACGCGAGGAAGGCGCCTCGCCGCTAGCGTAACCACCTCAAGCACTTCTGTTTCCGCTCGTCGCAGCTACGACATCGACCGAAGCAACACCATCGAAGCCGACGAGTTCGTCGATTTCATGACCCATGAGTTCCTTGCGCCGGCCCTGCCCTCTCCCGGAGTGCTCTGCGAGACCTCGGGCAACCGTGCGTGGACCATCCCCAGGTGAGAGAAGCGCGCGCCCGGATGGCCGGCGATCGGTCGATGAAACGGTGACGCCATGGTGTCCATTCGATTCGGGGGGGAGGGGGGCGTACTCTTATGTTTTGCATGCCTTAGCGGTTAGACCATTAACCACGCGTCCTCGAGAGGACGGAAGATGGTTCCCACAAGACCGATTACCGATGGCCAATCGATCCTTCCTACTTTGCCAAAGGTGGCTCATTCGACTCGGGGGGTGGGCAAAGCACATCCAACCGTCTTAGGAGCTGCAACTCCGAGGACATTCACGTACTCCACCGGGAAACGCGGCACATCGCCCCTAGTTTTCAGCTTGAAAGCACTCCTCCGTGTTGGGAACGTTCTTGGGTGCCAGATGTTCCGAACTGCATGTTTGTCGCGATGACGGCGGGTTGCGTCACAGGACAAGGCAACCTCCGCGTTCGAGACTCGGAGTCGCCCCCCGCTGTACCTTAGCATTGATTCTTGCCCCCTGCTGCTGCTGTGTTCAGGGAGGGCCGGTTGCGGATGACGGTTTTGGCGGACTATGTCGCCCCCGCTCCTATCGAGGTGGCCTCTCAGGAAGCTGTCGACTCGCTCATCTCCAACATCAGATACTCGGCAAAGACAGAGCAAGACAGGCTGGAGATGTTTCAGCTAGCGACGGAGGTAAGGGGTGTTCCGCTCCGGAACACGGAGGGGGACTACTGTAAACGTCAACTAACAGGAGAGCGGTTGACGTTAGTCTCAGAATGCAGAACATTGTGCTAATACTTACACACGGCAGGATCGTAGCGCCTGGGAAAATGTTGGGCTTGCTAGGATCTGAGGCGCGGTTTGCTTCCGTAGAGTATGTCGTTGGGTTCACCCCTTGCCCCCCTTTCCTCGTTTGCTGCAAAGGGCACCGACTTCTACATGACGAGTCTCAACGCCCAGGCTTTGATAGACGAGTGGAACAACGGCATGAATCTCGTCGACATCCTGGAGATATTACTGCCACAGGTTAGGGCGAACGCTGTTCCGTTGCGCATGAATCGTAAAAGAGCGCTTCGTGTGCAATGATGCAGAAGACGGTATCATGAAAACGGAAGTATGAAAGACACCGCAGGCCTCCCTGTGTGAGACGCGATCACTTTTTGCATCGCTTTTTTTTCCTGCTTTCAGCTTTTCTTGTGCTCTCGGAAACCAGCCTTTCTTGGGATCACCTATCCGCAACACATTACAGTGCACGACCAACGCCCAACGACAGTTGTCATGTCGTAGTGCTTTCCACTTCGCCTTCCGACAGTAGTGATGATTCGTCGAGTACAACGGTATTTATTCGTTTGTGTGACGCTTGGAAGGGGTCGAAAGCGACAACGCTAACTGCTCTGCTGCACCTCGTGTGATCTGCATGTCTCCAGATGTCATCAGATCGGAACGTGGTGTCTCTTATCGAGAACAACTTAACCTACGCGCAGAAGCTGGAGCTGAGGAGCAAACTTGGCCAGGTATCAGACACCCGAAGTACCACCGGTCACATCCTGGGACGACACTTCTTCCCCAAGAAAAGCATCGTTTGTAACCCTTGTTGAATACAAAGCACTGTTGACTCGCACATTCGAGAACGTTGGAGCAAACCGCATTTGGCGAGAACCCCGAGAAAACAAACATCCCGAATGCGAGGTATGTCATCGCTGGGGTTCGAATTTCCCCTGCACATGCTGATTAAGCGGAGAGAAAGTCTTTCTTTGTCGTATTCGCTGCCGTTGTCTACGTTTGGCCATCGGCTGGCAACTGGTGACGGCTGTGTCGGCAAGAAGGAACTATCCCCCAAGCAATATCTGCCTCGAAAAGATCAACACCCTCGTCTCTCCCCCTGCCCTGCCGTCTTCGTCACCTCATTCTGCCCTTCCCTTCTGTCCTTCATGCGAAGTATACCCTTTAACGTCTGACCTCGTCAACCATATTGCTTGGCCACACGATCGCTCTCTCAGACAACTATACTCGTGCCACGACCAACCACGCTGCCAAGTCCTTTTCCTCATCACAACACAAAGCTAACAAGCACCGGTTCGGCCGACAACACGCATGTAGGCCTGGGGCCCTCTCGTGGGCAACCCGACCGGTTCGTACTGCCTGGATATGTCGGACAGGAAGCACCTTATCGCTGCGAAGCGGCTGGCCATGATCAACCACGCGGAAAAGGGCCACGGGATCTCGGGAGCGGCGGGAAGGCATGACACAAGCCAGGTGCGCGCTTGTCTGCCCAATATTGTGTAGTGGCCCACGTGCTTCGGGTGAGCTCCCTTGAACGTGCACACGCATGGCTTCGGGCTGCTCTTGCCACGATGCGCTGACAAATCAGACGCCGATGAACAGCAACAAAATTGCGAGTCTTGGTCACTTGAGTATTTGATCACAAACAGTGGGGCATCCGCAGGGGACCATCTTTTTCTCCACCTTTGGCGCAACCCACTTTTCTGTTTTTATGGTGATCATGGTCATTTCGCGTATTTGAAACTTGCTGGGCACCGACGCCCGTGGGTCACGGTTCAAGACCAGCGACTGGGTATCACAGGTACCCAAGGAACGACTGCACTAAGACAGGGCATATGAGCAAAACAGCCGATACAACGGAGGTCCCAGGCATCCCCTCGGAGGGGGGCGTGAAGCCATTTTCGCATTCATGTGGACTCAATGCATCAGTCGCTCTCAGCTCAATCGATGGGCAATATCTGGCATCTGGTTTGAAGCGGCCACCACCGACAGACTTGGCCTTGACACTTGCCTGTCTTTATCCAAGCCTTTGGAGAGGAACTCGCAGAAACAGACTCCGTGGGATATGACCCGCTTGCTTATGGCACGAGCGTTAAGAAATGTTGTTGCAGACCGAGCAATCAACCAACCTGTTGGGTTATTGTTAATGCTCATCAGACTTTCCACCGGTCATACAACAGTATCAGTTGTTCTGTCGTTCTCTTTCCCCGCGTGGCTTGGCCAGTCTGTCCGCCTGCATGGTTCTTCGCCTCTCACCTCCACCCTTGCCGTCTTATCATTTCCCCCCACCTTCGTCGACCTGTCGATTTCCCTTTCCCGCCCATTGTTGATGGTATACTTTCACCCCCACGTACCTGGCAGAGGGGCTACTGGAACAACTTCCGCAACGAAACCTTTAACGGCCTTCCGTTTGCCGGTCGAGGAATGGAGGGGCGCTGGTTCGTGAACAATCCTCCGAAGGGGAAGGTGCGGCTGGACTACGTCTCAACGACTCGCCCCTTCCCGGGGACCAGGCCTCTCAGCGACCGCCGGTTCAGACAGGCAAGAAAGAGCGCGGTTTCTGTTTAAACGGTGTCTGCCTTCAGCTATAATCGGCTTCGCTGACCACACAGCGCTTCAGGCGTCCTGGTTCGAGTGGCACGGGACTACGGTCAGATGCGACATGACGCTCGTAGCTTTGTTTTCACACCAAGGCGCTCCAAAGTCTTGACCAGCTTCACACGAGTCGTCTGAAGAGATGTGTTGTCTGTTGACGTGTTGCCAAGACGTGCCTTCCTTCCTCGAACATGGTCTCGGGACTGCTAACCATCGGACTGCCCGTGGCCCTGGGTGTATTCCCACGCACGCGCACCCGACCCCGCCGTTGTACGCCTGATCGCATTCCCCTTTCGCGTGATCACGGGCTGTGGAGCAGCTGCTGACCTGCCTTGACCTGGGGGATCTGCAGAGGAGCACGGAGCACCCCTTCCTGTTTGAACAAAGCCCAGGACAAGCGGCCGCTGCGGACAGATTCGGCTCGATGTCCGTGGGAAGTGCCGGCACCCTTACTGGGGTTAGTGTGGGTCGAGGTGGAATATTTATGCCTCTTCGGGAACCACCTACATACAGCGTGTCCAGGTTTAAAGGAAGTTTATTCAGGGGGATTCTCCCTTCCCCAACAGCACGTTGTTCCCAAGAAGCTTGACGAACTTGCTTCTTCATCACCCTCTACGAAACCATTCCCTCCTGAGGACCGCTGACCATTGATTGACTAACGCCGCCCTTCGTTGCCCGGGTCCATCAATAAACGACCTAGGCCAGCGTGGTCTCCAATGCTCAACTGACCTCCAAGGCCGCAAGTATCGTCACCACAGCGGAAGATACTGCGCGCGCGACGAGCCACCCGAAGCGGGCCAAGCAGAAAGTACCCAAAGTCACCATGGGAACGGGTACGGCTACAGCAGCCGGGGAGTCCTTGCTTTGTTCACCCCGCGTAGTGCTCAAACCGCTCACCATGATCCCAGCGCTGCCCCAAGTGGAAGGAGAAGGCGGCGGCGTTCGTGGGGACCGGTCGTTTCGGAGTAGAAGCCCCGATCAAGGGTGAGAGCAGGCAACAACGGCAGCTGTTCCGCCGTCCAAGCAACCAATCGGCTGAGTGTGTAGTGGAGGTCGCGGTATGTTTAGAGTTGAGCCCTTGGGGTTCCTCTTTTTCCGTTGACCGATGCCGGTTGACATACCGAGGATTGTCTGATATGCCGGCGTTGCACGACCCCTGGCGAACATGTTTATCGAAAATATACAAACATGTTCTTTGATCGCGTCTGAGACGCCGCCCGCACCCTTCAAGGGACCGGTCGTAGCCTGTAGACCCAATCGTGCGCTTTCCAAAGAGCCTGCTGCCTCCACTCCAGCGGTGGTGTGAGAGTTTCTGACTCACGCAGTACTTGCTTTGGACCACTTAAACGACCCACTTCCACATCGCAGATCGTCGAGTTTAGAGTCCGCGATTCTGCGGGAGATGGAGGCCGTGCACGCCATGGTGAAGGAAGGGCTGCTGAGGTCAATCACGCCCGATCAGGTCCACAGAACCATTGCCTTGTAAACCTTTCACAAAAAGCGTACACGTCAGTTTGGGGGGGGCGATCAGCGGTCTTCAAGGGGTATGAACACCTCGCCAGCATTGCAAAGACGGGCCGAAGTGCCAGCAATACATGCAACCGGCGTGTGTCTACCTCACCTACGACAGCGCGGTTCAATCAGCAGCTAAACAAACAAGCACGAGGACGCTATACATTCCTTACTCATCCTATTCGTATGCGTGGCTGCGCGTATCCGCTGACCTCTAGATTTTGGCCTTCCACGCCGAGTATCATGTTTCGAGCAAATCCGAGCGAAGACGAGCGTGGGCCATCGTCGAACTTGGCCACCCTCTTGTGCCCGACGAAGACGTGGAAATCGGTCCTCGCGGTTCGGTACTATCGGGAGAAAGCAAAGGAAGTGAGGGCGGCGACAGGGCAGGTTCTCCCCCCGGCGGTGAGCGCAGCTCAGAGTTTGTGTCGATTGTCAGGCTTCAAGATTTCCACTTGAATGGTGGATAATTCAAGAATACACCCTTGTTGTGGTGCACCTTTGCCTCTCTTTTCATTTGCCTCTGTTGTTGTTGGTGCAGTCCAATTTCCTTGGGTCTATTGTGTTGTGACACGTTTTTGATGGTGGGAGAGGTGGGTGCAGCCGCCAGTCCCGCTGTGCGGCGACGTCGTGTCGAGTGCAAGGATGTGAATGGCATGCAACGGCGCCGAAACCTCCCCCCTCACCCCCGCATGATGCGAAGGTCGAAGCAAACATGGGACCCATGCGTGCCCTGCCGAATGTGTCAGGTGAACTCCCGCCAGACCCCAAGGGTGAAGATCCGCCTAATGAAGAGGTGGACGGCGATCGGGGGGACCAAAAGCAAAACGAGCTCCATGACGATCTAGGTAACGTCGACGGGGCTGGGTATCACTGTGTCCTGCCTTTCAACAGCTCGGCATGTCACTAGTGCGATTCGAGGCTTAACCAACAGCCGCGATTTTTGTTGAAGACCAAAATTCAGGGTAAGCTCACGACAAAGAACCCGCTAATTGTGTGCCACACCGTGGGGTCTTTCCTTTACACATCGGCGATAGATTGATCTGGTGTTTGCTACCCGGAATCTCGCGCATGATTTTCCGCAAAAGGCGTAGGGAATGCGGTTGTGAGAGCGGCATCGCCAATAGCAGCACCCGGATCCGGAAAGAATGAGCCCCCCGACTTGACGGAGTCGAAGCCTAGCTTCGGTGACAAGCAAAAACCGCTGTATCACATGCCGCTCAAGTGGCGAAAGGTCATCGGCAAGCCTCAGGTTCGGTGCGAGGCACGGGCGTTCAGTATTCAATATCTTCTTTGTGTTTTTTTCTTGTTTTGGACGTGTCGTTTCTCTTGCCATCGCTCGACTCCTCTAGCTATCTGACGTGAAGGGGAGCGGGTTGCCCTTCAGAGTGTCGGATCAGAAGCAGCACAGCAGTAGCCCTCAGGAACATGCGGGATATGGGTTGAACGCTTGCCCTAACCGTAACCACTAACAGCTGAACCCGTTTCAGCTGTTGCAGCGTGGGCGCTGTCGTCGCTTTAGGAGCACTTTCGACACCAAATACGCCCTCATTCCGCCGTCGCCGCGGTCGCCTTTGGACACTCGACCACAGTATGTGCAAGACTATAAGCTGGCCCTGAGTAAGCTGTGCGAGCTTAAGGTGCAGGTGCTTCATCACTGGCTCACGGCGAAGCAGGTCGGCCTCGGAAGTGTAACCACGTGCATGTCCCTTAATACTGTATTCACACCCATGGACGAATATAGTAACTCGTTCGCTGCCTAGAGTGCAGGTTTTGGGTTTTGTTCGGCAAGCCGGTTTCGAGGAGCGGTCCCATGGCTCTCGTAAGCCGCTGTTCACGAAACAGACCGTTGCCCTCAATCTTTGTTTCGATGTATGCGTTGGCGTGCGAGGCGCTAGGGCCGCGTTTCCACCCCCCCCCCCGAGGCCTTCAGAACTGTTCGGTCATGATCAATCGTTGTCCAGAAGACAGTCAACGAGGCGAGACCCACCCATCCTTGCTCGAGTTCGTGCCGACCGACTGCTGTAACGTGCATAATGTTTTGTTATCCTACGCATGTTTCTTGGTAATGGCTGCGAAGAACAGGTGATCACGACCATGAACTTTTTTCCGAGATGCGACTTCCTCCGGGTCATTGTCGCCACCACGCTCTTCGGGCGCCTGGTCGATCTGGAGGACACCGATCTAATTTTGGACGAGTTTACGCAAGTGCGTACATACCTATGTCGGACTATGTAGGACCGAAAGTGTTTCTCGATACACAAAGCCTGCCTGTTCCCCTGATGCACCTACTTCTACCGCTTGTGGTGCACATGTACAACCCAACACCTCGCGTAACTGTGCGTCGTCCAACTTAATAAAAACGTCAGTAGCGAAATGCATCTAATACATACCGTGCGCAAATCCGCCCCTTGCTTGACCCACAGGCTGAGTCCGACGAGTTTCTGTGGAGGATAGGCCCCCTAAATGTTTACAATCCCAAGAAGCCCGACCGCACCTACGACTTAGACCTCGCGCATCGAGACGATCGGGAGGTGTGCAAGGTGAGCGCGACACAGGAACAGCACGACACATCGAGAGAGCACATGCCATCTCGGTACGTACGTGAGCTTCAAACAGTTTAGCCTGGCGTTGCCTGGCGTTGCTCATTCCCACAAAATGTGTTCCCTGGCCGGACCGATGCCAATACCAAGCAGGTATTGGCTAGACTAGCGGTGGGTGAGCCCGGCGAAAATTGGGTGAACGAGGAGTACAGCTGGTCCTACGCGCAAAGGTGAGGGTTTCGAATGGCCGTGTGATAGTGCTCAATAAAACCCTCAAGGTTTTTTTTTTTTCTTTCCATTTTTATTTTTGCGTTAATGTTTTCTCTTCACACGCGGGGAAGAGAGAGAAACGACACTGACAGAACACGTTTCCTGCAGACTCCCTCTACGCCTGTCCTACCGTGTCTCTGTCCCTCAGTACTACTGTCTCTCTCTCTCTTCCCTAAGAAAACAGCCCGGGGTTTCTCTTTCCACCGGTGTGGGGAAATATTTCTACTGTGCGGAACCTCTCAGACGACCAAGTCCCCAAATGGTACTCTACCATTACTCTACCCCATTGACCGTAACCCTTGCATTCCTTCCGTTCCCTCACCTTCGAAAGAAAAGGGTGGGTGGGCGGGAGAGAATGCAATTTCTTGGCCTCCTAACCTGGCCAATCCTTTGTATCCCTATCTCTGAGTCTACCTACTACTGATGTTGTGTAGTTCTGCTATTGCACGCCTGTCAAGCAAGCCTTCTCCTTGCACATCAGCTCTCCGAGAAAGTGACCACTCCAAAATACTCTTCTCCATTCTGATACCCCGAAATACAGGAACAAAAAAGCCTCTGGCAAATTCAACAGTTTCAATAAACAGTAGTCTGCATCGGCTATATCTGCCTCACCAAACTTGCTATTTACTGTGACGTTCAATACCACCATGTATGTGAAGCACATGCACGTCGCGAGCAACACGTCGCCATGCCGCGGTGTTTAGAGGGATGAAAATACTTATTTGTGTATGCTCATTTTCGCCACATCCTTCTATGAGCTACTACATATTATGTAAATCCTAAGCTACTTGTTCGTCTAACCGGATTAGATCTCACGCCAGCACCCGCCCTCACCGACAAACCGTATGACCGCGGTAATTAGTAATCAATGGGTTGTACCCTAGACGGTGTTCGTTCCGCCCAACGTACGTGACTCAAACTTACAGAATGGCAATGGTGCCAAGGTAATAGGTAGGCCGGCGGCCCTTTCTCACATAAGATCGTTCTCCCAAAGAAGAAGCTAGTGGTGGGTGGCGGGACACATGTGTGTTCCGCATACGCAAAAACGTTTTCGCCATGTAGTAGTTGGAAGCCGGCCGTGCTCATAACTGTACCGGCTTCGCTCGCAGGGCAAACATCCTAACCAACTATTATAGCCGATTTCCACACGCCCAGGCTCGATTTCATGTCCGTTCTCTCGTGCTATGGTTGTCACCACGGGCAGGCCCGTCCCAGGCTGGGAATTGCCAATGAGTTGGACCACGCCCGACAGCGCGCACAACGGCGGGCCTAGGCACTGCGGTCGCTTGACCCTACGCTACAGCTCAGATCCGGCCACGGGGTGCGCGCCGAAGTGGAAGCTGAGAGAGACGCTCATGGCACATGTTTTAGCAGGGGATAACCCTCACAAACTACGGTGATCGTGGCAATATTGAGCACGCACCTTGCCGGCTACCTGCAGTAGTTTTTCCCACAGGATTGGGACTCAAGTGTAGTGCAGCTGTACGTGACACCGTGTGTGCCTACGATGTCAACATTTTGAAGCTTTTGGGGGGCGGATGGGTGTGTTGCTTCACTTTTGTGGCAACACCAAGTACGAAGAGTGCACATGACGGCCTCGAAACGTGCGAAAAACGAAGCTGACGGGGTACGCAGCAACCCCGTAGACGATGCAAGTGTGCAGATAGCTGGAACGGTTGGCGTCCGGTTTGTAAGAGGACAATAGGGTGTGTGTTCGCGCTGCGAGGAGTCTGTGGACACGATGCTCGGCATGTCACAACTAGGCGCGATCACAATACTGTTAGCACAAAAATCAAGGGTGCCCGAGAAAGGTTATCCGACACAGATAGGTCCCCCGGGCAGGGCCCAACTAAAAAACAAAAGAATCCCATGTTGGTTCTTTTTGTTGTTGTTGACCATAGGCATAGACTAGTGTTCATAGATGAAACACCGGCACTAGAATACGCCTTAAATGCCTGCGCCAAGAACGCGTTGTTGGTGGAGAAACCACACGACAATCATAATCATCCTAACCACATCGTCGAATCAATTTTCGGCGAAACAAAAACTCGGAGTAGAAGCAGCGTCACGCCCCCGCGCGCGTGACCCAATGCTCGACGGAAACCGCGGAAAATATGTAGGAGCTCGCAACTATGCTAAGTGTTCCGTTCGCCTCAAGCCAAATATTTCCGAAAAGCATTCATCATTCCGTCACGCAAAACAATACGCCAACCGTGAAGAACGCCGTTTCGGGGGTGCGACAAGGGTCCAGTCGTCCCCGTCCCCCATCCACCGGCAAGTCCAAGTGTGTCAATACTGCGTTCATTCGCGAAATTAATTAGTTCCCACCGCATATTCGTATGGCACAACCCAAACTGAAAATAAAAAGAAACAAGTACATTAACAAACACGTAGAAGTAGTTTTTTTCGCGCCTGGAAGCAAAACACTCGGCTTTCTGTCTACCTCGGTCTGTCCAAGCTATTTGTAGGCAAATAAAACGTTCCTAAGAGAGAATCGAACCCACAACCTGCTGCCAGTAGGTACGAGGTGAACCTTAGGCCACAGGGGGTCGCTAAAGGTTCGTGGACGTCAAAATTCACCAACACACACAAGACACCGTTGCCATGCTTTTCTGCGGTTCTGTAGCCTGTCGCCGTATGCAACAAGGTGACTTCAATACTACACAACACAAACACCCTCTGGGCAGCATCGCTAAGCTCTAGTCTGCCCAACCGATGTACATTTTAATACCAAGCGTTGACCTCTTATCCGATACGATGCCAGGTACAAGAGATCGCGCTCATTTTGTCTATATCTCGACACATGAGGACACAAGATACAAGGAGCCTACAAACGGCAAAAAAAAGAAAATGAATCATTTTAAAAATATTTTTAAGAAACAATAAGTCGCCTCTTTAACGAGACCAATCGTGATCACTGCTTCGGTCACACCAGTCTTCGTGTTCATATAAGGCGAATCGAGAAACACTCCACACATCATTCCGAAGGAACGGCGAAACAGCACCATACACCCCCAAAAATCTGAACAAGAACTACACTGTCGTACCGCTCGTGGGAGTCAGCTGCCATCGGGCATACCAAAATGTTCGCGAGTACGGTCGTGACAGAGAGATCACATCTCGAGCCAATTCGTACCAAGTGATGCAGTCGTCTGCTGCTTGAAAATGGACAGCGCAAAGTAGTACAACAGCATATCTGTTCCTATTACGCGGTGAATGGCCGGGCTTTCGTGAGCCCATTGAAGCACCTCATCGCGAAGCCCGGACATTACCCCCGGATTTCTCTGCTTGAACATGTTCCACTCACGCACGGGTGACCGCACGCGCGCGTTGAAGAGCTGCATAGACAAGTCCCAGTGTTCCATAATACCCACTGCCGTATATCCCGCCAAGGTGTTCTGCGAGCGTCAGAGATACAGGCACAAGCAACACTTCGTTGACTTAGTTGCCTTAGTTGTACGTCTCACTTCCTAGTAGTATAGCTTTCCTGCGAGCGTCAGAGATACAGGCACAAGCAACAGTCACTTAGTTGCACGTCTAACTTCCTAGTGGTATAGCTTTAGCAGTCAAGACGCCAATAATATCATGGGTACTGTAGAAGCCACAAGTGCACAAAGTAGAGTTAAATGCACTTTGAACACAGCATATGCACCACTGGAAGGGTGATTCACACTTGCCTACAAGGTAAGACATGCCCTCTTTGCTGGGGGAAGGCACAACTTCGGGCTCCTGAGTGTCCTGTAAGGATCGTTATATACAGCAGCTGTTTCGCTTCCAAATTTCCAATTTTCCAAATCCGTAGACCATTGACCCTCCATTTTTTGCGGCCGAGGGAAAACTTGGAAATTTGGAAAATTTGGACAACTGGCACCGAAAAAAATGGAAATTTTGGAAGCAAACTCGCTGTGTGTGTAAGACGGCCAAAAACAGCCTAGGATATCTTACGGCTGACTCCCCCGTGCACTGTGTTCACCCTACTTCTTGTTACGAGCAACACTACGGCAGTTAGCGCCAGCGATCAAGAAGCAAACCAACCTCTAAGAAACAAAGGCTCAGATGTTGGCGACAATCGAGAAAAATATACTAAGAAACACACTTCAGCCGTGGATCCTACCCGAAACAAACTCTATACCATGGCCTGCGCTCGACGGTGGTGACGAAGAAAAAAGAGATTGAGCCTCGATCCCAAACTGACGTTTCTTGACGCGGGCGCTAAACGTGTATGTATACCAGGAAAACAAATAGCGGATTTGCAAGCCTTACCTGGACCTGCTGGAGGATATCTAGCATACCGGGTTCGTCCAGCATCTGCGGTGACTCAACCTTCGGCAACCCCAGATGAGCCACACACGTACAGATAAACGCAACAAACATTAGAACATGAGTTTACAAGTGATCCCTCTAGAGTGGGCTCATGAGAGCATAGAAGTGTCATCAAGGGGTGATGCAAGATGAAAGCAAAGAATGTGTTGGTGTGAATCAGCTGCCAGGTGCCATCAGTGACGTTTCCCAAGCTCGAACAGCTCGCACAGCCGACGTGTTGTTGATTCGAAGACCCCAGCGAATCTAAACGAACCAAGAAGAAAAAATTGCAATCTGAACAAACGATTTATATCTTGTAGTAATACCGTAGTAGTCGGAGAGATGGCACCGGGGTGCACAAAAAAGGACAAGAACGGCATGATTTAATTCGATTTTCGCACCGGGGTCGGTGAGATCACACCCGGTGTGATCTCTCCAACCCCGTGAGCTCCTTTTCAGGTGCCGGAATGAGGAACATACATGTGCGAACATTATACATGTGGGGACGGTGTCAGCGGAGCGCCACACTCCTGTATGTACGTATGCACGGTCGCGGTTCACGCGGGATGCCAGTTGATATCGTTTTATTGTTGGTATAGAAGATGCCAACCGTACACTCAAATCAACCAAACACACAAACGTACAAGCCGCACCTTACCCCACCTTACACAAACACGAAACTATCATACTGCTGTGTACGTACTGGTATCCGTAGAGGAAACCGAAACGAAAACGGGAGAAAACTGATACCGTATGCACCTGTACCTCACATGGAAACGACATCGTTTGTTTGTCGTCACGCCATAGCATGCCAAACTCGCATCAAGCACAAGACCACTCGCTGCATGGAAAGCTGTTGCGTACCAGCCTAAGTTACCGTTACCGGTGTGCTTCCAACCAGCAACAACGGTACCTACCGGTGTGGTTCTTACTGACCAATAGCATTGTCAACTAGCGATGTGTCATAACTGCCTACACTGGTATCGATACTATGGTACCGGTCGGGGAGATGGCACCGGGGTGCGTGCATACAACACCTGTGTGTATTTCATCGGGGATCGCACCGGTCGGAGAGATCACACCGGGGGTGCCGTGAAAAAGGTAAACGAAACGATTTAATTGCATTTAATTGCATTTCCACACCGGGGTCGGAGAGATGGCACCGGGGTGCGATAAACAACCCGAGGAAAAATCATTAAAAAAAACGATCGCACTCGGCGCCATCTCTCCGACTATTACGGTACCCCACGTAGCCCATCCAACGAACCACCACCCACGACAACAGTCTGACACTGCGACACGTGTTTCACCTGTCTACGACCAAGTCACAAGAGGCGAGCACAACACGTCCACGAGGTAGTAACCAGATCACTTCTCACCTCCGCCTCGTCGCAGAAGGTGTCAGGGGGGCAGTACAAGCCGAACGTCATCTGCTTGAACGCCTTATTCTGCCAGCTCTCCTGCGCGAAGTCCAGCAGGCGCTCGGTGGCGGGCACCGGGTGCTCCGCGTGCCCACACCACTGCGGACGTGTCGGGTGCGTAGGTAGCGTGCTTCACCGTTAGTTGACCCCATCAGAGGGTGAACGGTACCGCGACGGAAGCTTAATGGCGGCCGTGATATTTGCTCCAGATGACAAAACGCCAAAACGGCGACGCTATGTATCACGCGGCGCCTGCTGGCGATGTTTTTCAGCTACAGTGGTGTCTCCGATATAAGAGGGTGTTGTGACAAAGGCTCTAGACCCCCATCAACAGGAGTCACCTCTCAGAGGGTACCCAACTTTACCTATAGCGGGTCGAGTCCGTGACAACCGATTTTGACCCTTTTACGTCGGAGCCTCGACTGTAATCAAGTTCGGCGGAGCCTGCCGCCATGCTATCGGCGGGACGTTGTACACACATACCTTCCGAGGCCTCAGTTGGACATCGTGGTCCGTTGGGCAGTAGAAAAATGCCGACACCAGGCGATCGATGGGATGTCTCAACATCGTGAAGTAGTCGCATTCCCTTCTGTTAACCTCCAAAGGATATCTGGGACCACGGGAGACGAAAACGGAAATCAAACGTTACGGTCGATCCATATACGCGCATAATATGGGGTGTCATAAAACCGTCAAGTACTCTGCGTTCCGTCCTGACAAACCTCTAAAGGATTTCTGGGACGACGAGGGAAGAAAAGCGAGCAACATTTCGACGGGAAACCAATCTGCCCCCCCCCCCCCAAGAAAAGACCCAATTATACATTAATACGAGGCAATCATGAATCTGTCCAACGTTCTCAGGCTTTTTCTGCCCAAAGCTGGGCGCCTGCATTTGGACGAAACCACTCGTCTTTGTCTCAGTATATCCGAACAGCAGGGTATGATACAGCATTCCGTTGCACCGCAACAACATCAGAATCGAAAGCATCGAGCAGAAGCAAGTGACACTCGCCTTATCAGTTCCGCGTATCCCGTGATGATCGCAGAAGAGTTGATGGCTTCCAAGCAAGCATCTGTTCTGGCATGCCCATTTATGCACACCGCTGCACCGGAGAACAGAACGGCGGGAAGAGAGCGAAGTCTTCACGTCGTTGCGGCGTCGGTAGGACCGTTGTTGCTCGCACCCCGAAATAAGCGACACACAAAACGCCGTTGAACTCCACCTTGCGAGTCGACGGCAACTGTCGGCTTTCACATCCGCACGTATTTTTCCTGATCATTCCATCATTGACAATCGAAGTACAGCCGGCCCGCTTTAAAGACACGCACGGTTTTGTATTGAGGAGTGTCTTTAACGCCGGGAAGTGCCTTATAAGAGTCCGGCGGTGATAGTTTGCCGTCCCTGGGGTCAATGGAGGAGTACCAGACGTCATAAGACGGCCAATTGCAGCACTTCGCTGTTGCACCTTAACATTGCAACACCCCACCCCCCATATTATTGTCCAGAACAGTGGGTACATCACTGCAGGACGAGGCCTACCATGTTGAACGCCCCCTCTCTACATGCCCGCTGTGGTTCGTAGTTGTTGGATTTGTTATTTATCTACTCTAATGTTTTGGCGTCGTCTCCACGTCGAAAAACTTGCCGAGATGCAGTTCTTCAGCATCATTTGGGGGTCCCGTATGATGAAAACGGTACCCTCCTCTACATTTTTATCTGCGGGGCACCCTACTTCTGAGATTTTTTGTGCCGCCTATGCATGGTGTATTGGCCAAATGGGGACACTTTGGGAACACAGCACTCATCAAATGCCTGTTTACCGCACCGTGGTCGTCACTAATAATACATTATATATATGCTCCGCTGCGTGAATAGTGTGCGGGAAACCTTTGTCTAGCACGCTGGTGTGACGTGGTACGCTGTGTGACAAACTGCTGTGTGTGATGCCTGTGTGTGATGCCTGGGCCTCTGACTTGCTGTACATGGATCTCCCGATCCGCTGGTCCCCTTCTTCAAAACTGTACATACCAAGTGTGTGTGCGTTGTTTTCGTGCTACAGTAGTGGGCCCTGTATAGAGCCGGTGTGTTCGGCTCGCACACGCTGAACCACCAAGTCTCTCTGTACTTTGAATAGTGCCGGTGTCCGGAATAGTGCCAGTAAAGTCTCTGGACACAAACATACCAGCACCAGCAGGGCCCACCATTCATAGCAGTACTTATTGAGGTACTGGAAAAAATGCTGACTTGGCTTCCGTATAAAAACTGTCCCCAGTGCATTTTTTGGAGACAGTTTTCATCCTGAAGCCAAGTCAGCCTTCGGCCCTCGGGACTGTACAGCCTCTCCCGATGAGTGGACGCGATTTTTTCTGGACCCGGACCCTGAACCTGTAACTGGGTGCTTGGTACTAAGGAGGGTTAAAAACGGGGACGACGTAAAAGACTGCATACTATACTTTTAAGCACGCAACTACGTATACAAGAACTTTTGGTTCTTCTTTTTTAACCCTTCGTTGGAGCGCCAGAAAAATCTCGATCGGTACAAAATACTCCGGAGCTCCGGGGAGTAATAAATGCTCCTTTCCATGCATGAATAGCTCGCGATGTGTGATGATCCAAATTCATGTAATGTGTCCTGACGTCCCGACGCTCCCTGGCGCGTATCCGCGTTCGGCCCGACACCTCCCTTCCTTGTGGTTTGGCTGGGACAAACGGTGCTTAACCCTCCAACAGCAGTAGTACTGGAAGCCCAAACAAATGGGGGCACTTTAGGGACACAGCACTCAAACTCCTGCTTACCGCACCGTGGTCGTCACTATGCTCCGCTGCGTGAAACGTGCGTGGGAAACCTTGGTCTAGCATGCTTGTGTGAGGTGGTACGCTGTGTGATATGCTGCTGCTGTGTACGATGCCTGTTGTGTGCCTCTCCTGGGCCTCTGACTTGCTGTACACGACCTGCCAAGCCGCGGGTCCCCTATTGGTAAAACTGATTGGTAAAACTGCATGCATACACAGCCTAGTACTGGAAATTGCTGACTTGGTTTCAATACTCAAAATATAGAAAGGAAAGTGTCCCCCGAGGGGTACTTTCTATACTTTCTATACCGCATCTCCCAATGAGCGGACGCGTTTTTTCTGGACACAGAACCTGTACGTAACTACTGCTGAACTGGGTACTGGGTACTAACTCGGAGGGTCAACGAATTTATATGTTTCCGGAGGTGGCCGCGAAACACCGGACAGTAGTTGCTTGATAACTGATAGAACACCAAAAGCCACGATTGACACACGTGTGTGGAAGAGTAAAGTAGTGCGTGAATATATATATACATACGGATGCGGTGTAATTACTCTAGCATAGATACTGGTACGTATGCATATACATGTTACCCACAAGATAATAAGTCGCACCTGGTCTCGGGAGACCTTCGTTGCGTGTAGCTCTGTGAAGCAAGCTCTTGACGGTCGAGCCCGCGCTTTTCACCATGTGGTGGAAGACGGTGCAGTATTCGGGCGGCTCCCCGGGTTCACTCCTCGCGTAGAGCTGAAGACGAGAAGCAAGGAGAAAACATCGACGAAACAGCATGCACAGAGAATGGTTGGTTGCGTCTCTTGTCTCCTCCATCAAGTTGCAAGGAGTGGTTATACAGCAGTACAACAGCAGCACAACAAGGTGTGGCCTACCTTACCCGTGTTCTCACGATCACTCACCAACAGGTGTCACGGCCCTACCTACCAGGTACACAAAAAAAGCAAGACTTTGCACAGCCTACGAAACCTAGCTAGCTAGTCCGCAGCCGCTCTCACAGACAGGCGGACAGAGGCTTGCTAAAAAAATGACGGCTTATTTTTTCTCACGACCGCACTGACTGCGGGAAAACTGTATGAGACGCTTGTTGCTTCAGCGCCAACTGTTCGGATGTCATGTTCAAGTTTGAGACATGTTTTCGGCCATTGCTTCAGCGTCTCCGTAAGAGCTCATCGGTCACCCTTGATTTTGGTCATAAAAATACTAAGTAAGATAGAACGTGCTCACTGGCAGGCAGCGCGTACATACACTCTTCCCTCTTCCATGCCAGCCAGTTCTATATTTACCAGATACAGTCCACGTTCCGAGCAGGCATACATACACGGATGGGAGTATGCATAGGAACAGCGAGGGCGAGAAACAAGATCTCCCTTTCGCCTCTTCCTAGCAACAAAGTGACCAACAACAGCAGGAGGAAGAGGCTTGAGAGGGGGCGGGGCAAGGTACGGCAAGGTACTTATCTCCCACGGGGTGGTTTCCAAGACTTCCAGTGCCTCCAAGCAAAACTACGAGATTCCACCCGTGACCGCCGACGTCGTTTTCGTCACAACACCGTCGTAGCATCAACCAACCGTGTTTGTTTCCGGCAGCCAGCAGCCCCAGAACTCACCGTGTCACTTCCAACAACAAGCAAAGAGAAAACGCAAGCCAACCGGACGGTATCCAAGAGCATCTTCGTGTGTAGCGCCATCGCTCCACCCGACCGACTCGCTGGCTCCAGACAGGTTGATCTCCTGCATGAAAACAAACAGCAGTTTGCGGACGACCTGGTGAGGAAAGCGTTTCCAAATCACCTAAGAGCATTATTTAATCTGGATTTCACATCCAGACTATTCGGGGATAAAAATTCAAGATCAAATACCTCTCTTTTTGATTGGGAAATAAAGCTCTTCCGCCGGTCGGTCCACATTACATTGTAGGACTAAAAGACAGACCACCAACCGATTTGAGAAACGGGGGAAATCCGGACGTGGGGTGAATCGGAACCAAGGTTGCCGACTACTGTAGCGGTCTACTCGCACGCACGGCGCGTGTCCATGTATACCCCTACACCCCTTCCCACGCAAACAAACTCCATCCACTGTCGTCGCACACCGCCGAGAAGCGAGAGCGAGAGAACATACAGAACCAGCCCAAGGGTCACTGTGCGCATTGTTGTTGCACATGACTGGCACTGAAAAAAACGCGTGATGGGGTACACGTTGGTCTGGTGGGACATGTCCCCGTGGGTTGTCGAACCTCAAATACATGCACAGACGAATTATTCGTGGCTTTCGGTCGGACGAGGCTCGATTGTGAATCTCACATGCATGCATGCACAGACATCGTGTGGTGAGTAGTAGAACACAGCCATGCTGCTCAAGAGGACTAGCTCCCCTTGTACGGCCACGTCACAACAGCAACGGGGAAAACTATTAGGAAACACAAATAAATAGAAACACAGAAAGCCTACCCATCCGAGATAAATGAGAAACGGCGGCGGACCTTTCGGGTTGTTTGCGGTGGGCTGCATTGTTGTTGTTGTTGTTGTTGTTGTTGTTGTTGTTGTCTTCACATTAAAAACCGTTCCGATCTCTCTCTACCCAGTACCTTCGTATGTCCGTATCACCTACAATCGATACTATGATACCAGTGAAACACGTTATCTTACCCTTTTTTAATGTGAAGACAACAACAACAACAACAACAACAACAACA